TAACTCGTCCTTCAAGTGTTGGCAGTCCTCGGTATTGTGACCATATACACGGTGGTAGTCACAATGCTTGCTTTTATCTGCCCTCGGGGAATCATGTAGCGGGGGTGGAGGTCTCCGAACCCAGTGCTGAATTTGTGCCAGGATTTGGGACCTGGGTAAGGTCTGGGTAAGGTCAAAGGAATGTAACTGGCATATTTCGGGAACTCAGCTGGTTTTCCCCATTGCTCACCGACCTTCTGTTTCTTCTTTTCTTCTCTTCTCGGTTGTTGCTCTTGGCCTCTGTTCGGCTTATCATCAGCTCGTCGCTTGGACGACTGAAAGTCCTCTGACAGTATGAAGCTGGCTGACCTGTCATTCACCTCGTTCCACGTCTTCGGTGGGTTTTCAAGCAGGTCGTCTAGGAACCGACCACGCCTCAACCCATGCAACAGGGCGGACAGGCAGATTGTGTCTGGGACATTATCAATGTCCAATGTGGCTTTGTTAAACCGCTGCATGTAATCCCTCAGGGACTCCCCTTCCTTCTGGCTAACTTGCATCAGCTCAGTTGCTGTGCGCTTGATCTCCCTTTGGCTTGCAAATTTGTTAGAGAATAACTTGGCGAGCTGGGAAAACGAATCTATTGAATGCCTGGGGAGTTTGTGATACCATCTTCGGGCTGTTGATTTCAGTGTCGCCGGGAACACTTTGCACATCATAGCATCATTGGCGTTTTGAATCCTCATGATGGCTTGATAGGTGTGTAGATGTTCATCCGGGTCTTTCGTGCCATCATATGTCTCTAGGTGGGGAATTTTGAATCCCTCTTGATATGGTTCTGCCGTGATGGATAGGTTCAGCGGAGCACTATCCAAATCCAAAGTCTGCTGATGCGACCGGGGGCTTTTCAGCTCGTCAATGGATTTCTGTACATCCCGCAGCTGCCTTTCAAGGTCTCCGTTCTTTCTCATCAATTCTTCACTGTATTTGGACGAGCTGGGCTCGATATTCAACTTCCCACTTCCCCTCGGCCTGGTCGGCACTATTATATTGCTTAGAGCGGGTGAGTTTCTAGTCGCTACAACCGCAGCTGGTTGTGTATCCCTGTTCAGCAAAGGAATCAGGGGGTCATCAGGGATTAAGCGAGCAAGGATTCTTCCCATTGCCATTTCGAGAACCCTGGTTCTCTCTTCGAGCTCGGTTGTCCGAGCAGGTTCTGTTGACCTTTCAGGTCGTTCACGCTGTGAATTGTTCGGTCTGGCAGATCTTTGTCTCGTTCCTGCTGGAGCTTGGAACTGTTCAGGCTGGGTTACATACCCAGTTGGTGTTCTTTCATCATCCGTCTCGCTTAAGTGATCCTGTTCGGCTCCTCCTACAAAAAGATTTCTTGGCATCGGCCTAAAATCATTCAAGCCGGCCTCAGATACGTGATCGTCCTCCTGTTCGTCTATTTCATTTCTTGGAGGGCGCCCTCCTGTAAAGGTACGGACCATTTTGTTTTTCAGCAGATTAAGTCACACAGCTTTTTGTTCGAGTTTCCCACAGACGGCGCCAATGTTTCGGCAGCTTCGTAATCCGATATTGTTGAAGTCCTCAGCTGCTTCTACACCTGAAAATCCCGAGGTTGTTTCCTCGGGGAAAACACTCCAA